CCGGCGGGCGCCGAGGGGTGCGCCGGCACTAGGGATGGGGGGGGGGCTGCAGCACCCTTGGCTTGGAGCGGTTCCATGATACACAGTTGGGTATATCTCAGCTCCCCCACGCCACGAATTGTTCCAGCGCCAAGCACCTCTTTCCTGCCGGGATCCTGGCGCAGGCACCGGGAAAGTGCAGATAACCAGACCTGCCTGTAACCGCGCAGCCCAGTGACTGTAGGAGTGAAATCAGAGGTGTTATCACGTGTATGGACATATAACATATTCACTGGGCTGAAAGGCTGCCCTTCCGTCTCTGCTGCTGCCGGTGCAGCGACCGAATACACCTGCCGGCCGGCCTTGATTTAGCCAGGTTGGAAATCAGTTCATCAACGCAATCTGGTTTCCCTGCGCTGTGAGATAGGCTGTGCTCGGTGTCCGCGCTAGTACCTAGCGCCATTCTTACCCATCCGGGGCGCCTTGTACTTTACAGAGAACAGCTGGTTTCCTGACCCTATAGAGCAGGAGCTTCAGGGGGTAGCTGAGTTAGTCTGTTACAAAAAAAAAAAGCAAGCAATTGGTCTGGTAGCACTTTATAGATTAACAAAACATGTAAATGGTATCACGAGCTTTTGTGGGCACAGCTCACTTCTTCAGGTGATGGCTGTTATGATTAGAGGATAGGGAAACTGGAAATAAATAGGAGACGGGAAGGGAAGGGAAGGGGGAAAGAAAGATGTTCTGTTTCTTTCCTCCCTCCCCCTCTCCTATTTATTTCCAGTTTCCTTATCCTCTAATCATAACAGCCATCATTTGAAGAAGTTCGGCTGTGCCCACAAAAGCTCATGATACCATCTACATGTTTTGTTAGTCTATAGAGCAGGGCTACTCAACTTTGGAAGCCCCAGGGGCCACAATGATACTCACAGCACATGCAGGGTGCAACTTAAGTGTGGTTGCATAGATTTGCAAATATATATGCAATATATACGCAAATAGCTTCGTTCACACTGAGGGGCATGAATACAAAGATGAAGCCTCAAGCCACAGCAGGGACCCAAACGTGGCCAGTGTGAGCCAGTCTGCACCTCTTAGGCTCTGAGCACGAGGCGCTGGCACTCCCAGCACCTCCTCCCTAGGGGCTGGAAATGTCAAAACCCTGTACCCCTCTGTTCCAGCCAGCCCATACACTTGCATCTTTCAATGCTCACCCTGCCTGGGAGAACATGTGTTGTGGAACATGTTCCCAGTGGAGGCCATTTCAAAGGATCCTGCCAAGGGCTACATGTTGAGTGGCTCTGCTATAGACCAATAGGCACATCCCTCCATTTGAGAGCCAGCAGAGCTCTGGGTTAGCATTTTTAACGTTTCACGGGCTTGCTTCTGCTGAGGAGAAAGATCTAAGCTACATTAGCTCTTTGTGGTGATTTTCGTTCTGATTCAGAGCCTTAAAAGAAGAAACAATTTGAGCTCAGCCACACCCAAGCGATTTAGGAGTACATCAGAGCCAGTACTAAAACAGGAGGGAAAATAAATGATTTGACTACATTATTTTACATTTTCACTCAACCCCAACCCCAACATTTGGAGCAACTTTATCATTTAATTGATCATACCTTATACTTCTCTAGCAGCTCTTAATTGGAGTTTTGACAAATGTTAACTTAGAAATCAGGCATGTTTGTAAATTAAAAGCAAAGTTCTCCCCTATGGCAAAGGCATAATTAAAAAAGAAGCAAGTTGTCATATGCAATTATGCTGGGATAACTTGTCAATGGAGCCAGATGTAACCATGCAAATACAACCTCCTACAAAATCAGTGTTACTCCTGCAATTCTTAGGCCAGCAAAGCATGAGGTTTCCTGCATGACAAGAGCAATATCACAGTTAATATCCTGTTGGGTATTCCATTCTAAAGCCCTACTTTTGCATGCTTAAAATGGTCTCAGATTTTCCTTTTGACATAAACTTATTTAGTTATCCAAGCAGGGGAAAAACAGGTTTGTGTTTTAGAGCAATCTTGTTTAACCCTTCTTGCTCTTCTTTGGAACGTCACACTTGGCACATACACACTTCTTGAGGATAATTTGCTGACTAACTGTGACAGAACTTGATTAAGAAACAATAAAGATAAAAATTATTGAAAGTTACTTTGGGCCAGATTCACAAAGTGGTTTATGCCCCTACTTGGCTCTCTAAAATGTGTAAGGATGTGTCTCTCTCTACAGAAAACCCACTGACTCATACAGTTACCTACATGCATCCAGCTCCCATCCAGAACACACCACACGATCCATCGTCTATAGCCAAGCCCTTCGATACAACCGCATCTGCTCTAACCCCACTGACAGAGACCAGAAGCTTCAGGATCTCTACCAAGCATTTATAAATCTCAACTACCCACCCAGAGAAACAAAAAAGCAAATTGAAAGAGCCAGACGAATACCTAGAAACCATCTACTTCAAGACAGACCCAAGAAAACCAACAATAGAACACCACTTGTCATCACCTACAACCCCCAACTTAAACCTGTCCAACACATTATCAATAAACTACAGCCTATATTGGAACAGGATACCATACTCAAAGAGGCTCTGGGAGACAGACCCATAGTCTCCTATAGACAACCACCTAACCTCAAGATGATTCTTACCAACCACCACAGGACATACCACACTAATACCAACCCTGGTACCTTCCCTTGCAACAAACCCCGTTGCCAGCTTTGTCCACATATTCATTCTGCTGATACCATTATTGGACCTAACCAAGTGAGTTATAAGATCAAGAACACATATTCCTGCGCATCCAGAAATATAATCTACGCTATCATGTGCCGAAAGTGTCCGTCTGCTATGTACATTGGACAAACATCTCAGACACTTCGCCAAAGGATTAATGCCCACAAAACAGATATCAGACAAGATCACAAAGAGAAAACAGTTTCTTGCCACTTTAACCAGAAAGGACACTCTCTAAATGACTTAGCCACCTGCATTCTGCTACAAAGACCTTTTACATCTGCACTTGAAAGGGAATCCTCTGAACTGTCATTCATGTTAAAATTCGACACTTACCACCAGGGACTTAACAAGTCTTTGAACTTTCTCACCCATTATCAAGACAGTTTCCCCAATTATCACCTGTAATACCATTAACTCACAAACATCCCACTCTCCCTACCTCTAATATCATCAATTCACAGACACTTACCTTCCTTCCTCCCCCTTCCCACCCCCCCGCCTCCTCCTTCTGTTCTGCAATGTGATTTGTCCTTTTCATATTTGTTCTTTTTTTTAATTGTATCCTTTGGTATATATGGTTGTGACTACTTTCTTCCACTATTTGATCTGAGGAAGTGGGTCTGGCCCACGAAAGCTCATCATCTAATAAACCATCTTGTTAGTCTTTAAAGTGCTACATTGTCCTGCATTTTGCTTCAACTACCCCAGACTAACATGGCTACATTTCTATCACTATTCTACAAAATACAATTGATCTAATTTACATCGACATACAGCCAGCACATTAATTACCTCGCTTGTGCCAGTCTCCTCACCAGTAATACTTGTATCGATTGTACTGTCAGTGTGGGGCATTTGAGATGGCTCCTGAAAGCCAGTCAACATAAACAGCACAGTGTCTACTCTACACTCATACTTGTGTTGACCTAACTACATTGACACTGACTATATGTCACTCGTAAAGATGGAGTCATTAAGTTGGTGTAGGAGGGCAGGTATGTTGGAAGGAGTGAAATTTAAGCGTAGACCAGTGCTGGACAAAATGTAGTCTGCAAACTGAATCTGGCTCTCTGCCTGCTCTGCCACTGCCCCGTCCACTACTCAGAAAAGCTGGCTGCAGGGCCCTGTTTGTCTGTGAACAACTGCGAGACTGGGGGGAGAGAGGGAGAGGCTTCACACACTGCCTCTGTCTCCAGCACAATCTTGTAGCTCCCATTGGGAGGTTTCTGGTCAATGAGAGCTGCCTGTTTGAAGAACAGGCAGTCCACTGCAGCCAGCTGCTCTGAGTGGCACGCCAGGGCATGGAACGCAGGGAATCTACTGGGCAACTGGCTGGGAGACACCAAGGTAAGCATTTCCTGGCCAGAGCCTGCCTCTGGAACCCTAGCCCCTCCCTCCTCCAACCCTCTGCCCAGCTCACTCCTGCCCCCCTACCCCACATAACCCGAACACTCTGGCCCCCTCTCCTGCTCCCATTACCCCTCCTAAACCCTGCACCCCAATTCCCTGCCCCAGGTCACAATCCCTCCTGCCCTAAGTCACAACCCAAATCCCTATACCCTCTCCTGCATACCAGTTCTTTGTCACATCCCCCTTCTTCCCCCAAACTCCTTCCCAGATACTGCATTCCAAGCTCTGTAAATGCCAGTCTGCAAAATCTCGATGTAACAGTAGACTCCATATTGTGGATGTGAATAAGAATAATGATCCTGT